AAAAATAAGTGTATCTCTCATTGTTGTGGTGCGAACGCCTTTTCTAAACTGGATAAGCATGATTATAACTAATTATACTTGTCATAATATTAATATTAAGTCTAGTGTATTTTTACCATTACATTATAAATTTATTCCTCTAAAATTTTTCAAGAAGAATGTCAGGTGCATTGGACCAGAATCGAAATTTGACGATAAAAAAAATACGACGCCAACAGCAATAAACATTTAACGCATGTGAGACGACAATATACATTTAATACTTGAACGTTTCAGAATATAAATATTTCATCTTTAGGGAGCTATATTAAACTAAGTAAAATGCTAGAGGAAAAGATTTCGAAAAATAAAACGTTCCAACGTTTTACAAAGAAGAATTAAAGAAAAAGCATCAAATACATTAAAAATAAATTGCACAACAACTGTTATAATATTACGGTTTCTAGCAGAATTGTACAAGCTATTCAGAACAAACTTAACTGTAGTGAAGTTGTGTTATTATTTAGAAACGGGAGTTAATCTATACTATATAGCCTTTCTTTAATTAAAATCTCATTATATGATGATCCAGATAAGATGATTTTGAAATTTTAAAACAAAAATTATTTCCGAAGAAACTTTACCGATACAAGTCCTTTCTTAAATAAAACTGGTTTATTCTTTCTGAATACAACTTTGCGATACACTTAATTTCAACAGTCGCTCTATAACAAGTGCTATAATTCACAACGAACTTCTCACGTGCTCAACAATATTCTTCCTTCACGTTGCTTCTTGGCCGGTCTTATATATATACAAGACTACCCCAATTTAGTAGTCGTAACAACAGTATTTCAACTACACTATATCCGCTATATCCATAGCCGACAGTGCATTTCACTCACTAAAGAGATCATCAAAATGACTAGGACACAAAAAACACAGTAGTGATCGAAAAAAAACTATTTATATAAGGAATTTGTTACGACAACAATTGTTAAGTTGTTTGTTATTTTCTGGCGAACTGATTTCCTTTCAAGTATCAAATAGTCAGACTCGCTAACAACAGTAGATTCAATCATAGTTTTATTAAATAAAAGTTTACAGAATCCAATTTGATAAAGAAAAATAAACCTAAAATGAAGAAATATAAATGCTGGTCACTAGTATATAGATGTTAATTGCATTATTCAAATTTTAATACATTTGAATTTTGGCAAAGTCTCTATACACTTTCATAATGGTTAAACATACCTTACGTTTGTTTGAAATTAAGCACAAAGCTATACAAACTATGCTCTGCCCACCACGGGAATCGAAGCCCGGTTTCTAGTGTTGTAAGTCTGCATACATACCGCTGTGCCACTGGGGGGGGGGGCGTTCGTTTCGATATTATTTTGTGTATGTTTTGAT